AAACAATNATAAATTTAATTATTTATTATATATATATATATATATATGTATATATATATATATGTATAAATTAATGATAATAACGAATAAATTACCTTAAATTTTTCAAATGACAAATATTATTAACAAAAGTTTGAGCTTGAGAAATAATTTTAACATTGTATAAAACTAAAGATACTAAATTAGGAATCAAATGAAAAAAATCAAAAATGCCCACATCAAAACTATTGGACAAATCTAAATTTGTTAAATTTGTTAATCCAGCCAAGAGTATGTTATATTCCAAGGCACAAATTGGAACATATTCTAAAGCCAAGGTCCGTAGATTTGGTATTTTAAATACATATCCTTGTTTTTGATATGCTAATAATTAAAAAAAAAATATATATATATTAATTTCATATATTATTAAATGTTATATAAATTACAAATGTTGATTAAAAAATTAATTATTTTAAATATTTTAAAAATTAAATTTTAGAATAATAATAATCACATAATTATAATTGTTTCATTTATATAATTTTGATGATACTATTTATTTTTTATCAATTTGAAAATAAAAATAGTTACATTATAATAAAAATTACTATACATTATAATACAATATATACAATATAATTGTGATTATTTTCTTTTTAAAAAATAAACATATAAACTACATATAATTGATTATTAATACATAAAAATTAAAAAAGCATTTTAACAATGGAATATTATATGTATAGTTTATATTTTATTTAATTTACATTTATATTATATTATTAATTAATTTATACTAAAATTACAATATATTTAATTATTTAATTGAAAATGAGTAATGAAATATTCTTACCTGTAAGTTTTTCCGGAATGATTACAGAAGTACCACGACATACTAAAGTATGCAAATTTTCTGCATTTGCATTTATATAATCAATAGACTGATCTGTTAAATTAGGACAATCTGTAAGTTCTAATCTCAAAAGTTTATGATTTGCAAGGATCTGTACTGAGTCATCAGTTATATTAGATCCTACAACTTTGACGCGTTTAAGTTTGGTTATCCATACATTTTTAAAAATTGTAAAGAAACGATCATGATCTTCATTCGGATCATTTCGTAAAACATATTCAATAAGTTTATCGCATATTTCACTCGGGAAAACTACCCCTTTTAAAAGATTCCGATATTCGCATTTATCCTTTACCGAGATAATATCTAAATTTTTGCAGATTACTTGGAAACATAGTTCTGCAAGAGATTCTGGACCTCCGTATTGATCTAAATGAAATAAGTCATCCAAATCCGCCATTCTATACGGCAATTTAGATAAATTGCGTAAAAAGACTCATAAGAAAATCCTAGCAACAATTACGCAATTTCAACTGTCAAATATGTTAAAATGCATCAGCTGGGCATCAATGCCCAAATTCGTTGCAGAAGAAATCTCTTTTATTATTTCCTTATTTTCTTTTAATCAAAAATAACCCATTACATATTTAATCGGCACAATGCCGAATCACTCTTAAAATGAGTCTGAAATGAATATGTTCACTTTGGATGTTTAACGAAACGAAATTTACTCGACAGTTAACTGATACGCAACTATGTACGTCGACACGCTTGTAATTTTGACATTTCACTTGACTACCGTAGTGACGCTATTCCTGAACACTTGACTGTAGCTCACAAAGTATACAATAGTGATCAACATTTATTAAAATTTATTAAAATTTTCGCGCGAAATTTTAAATCCTTACATTTTAAATGTTAAATATTATAAAGAAATAAATTATTATGAAATTAATTAATAACAGATTTTATTTATTTCAGAATTTTTCAACACCATATTATTATAAAATACATACTGAAAAGCAATACTCATAAAAATATGAAATAATTTTCATTTATAATTTTAAATAAAAATCGTAATTTAAATACAATATATATAATTTTAAATAATAAGAAAATCGTATTTATGATCCACAGGCCATGCATGCATCTCCATTTTCGCGAGAACATGCGAGTACTATGTCTACATCTTCTTTATTTTGATCTTGTAACCATCCATTTTGAGAACTATTATTAAGTTCTTCATTATTATCATTTTCAGAATTAATAGATTGATTAGAAGTAATGTTGGTTATATTTCGTAATTTGGATTTATCAACTGTAAATTGAAGAGCATTTGCTGCTGGTTTTGTTCTTAAATAATACATGCCAGTTTTTAAACCCTAAAAAATGTTTTTATATGTTCAAATAACTTCAATTAGAATAATACATAGAATAATAATGAAAATTATCATTTATATAAATTATAAAGAAGAAATTAAAATTATTTACCATTTTCCATCCATAAAAATGCATTGAAGTAAGTTTTTCTGTTGTTGGTTTTGCCATATGAACATTTAATGATTGTGATTGATCTATAAATGCACCACGATCTGCTGCCATTTTTAAAATTATTTTTTGTGGTATTTCCCAAACTGTTTTATAAAGCATTTTTAAATCATCTGGTATACGTTCTATGTCCTAAAATAAAAACATTTTTATTTAAAATAATTCTTCGTTATGCATATTAAATAATTCAATACTTTAAATTTATATGAAATAGATACTTGTATAGAGCCATTATTTGCTATAATTTCATTTTTCATATCCTCATCCCAAAGATCTCTTTCAGTTAAATCTCGTAATAAATGAGGATTTACAACTTGAAACTCTCCTGACAGAACTCTTCTTGTGTAAATATTGCTGGTGTATGGTTCTATAGATTCATTATTTCCTAAAATTTGTGCTGTTGATGCTGTTGGCATCGGTGCAATTAACAAAGAATTTCTAACTCCATATTTAGCAATTTTTTTTTTAAAATAGTCCAATCCCATAAATTAGTTGGAATAACATTCCACATATCGTATTGTAAAATCTAGAAATATATTAATAATATATTAATATATTGACATTTTTATATTTAAAAAAATATGTAAATACAATATTTATTATAATTTACTTACTCCTTTGCTTACTGGACTACCTTCATAAGTTTCATATGTACCTTTTTCTTCAGCAAGTTCACAGCTGGCTTCTAAAGCACCATAATACAATGTTTCAAATATCTGAATATTAAGTTTTTGTGCCTCTTCACTTTCAAATGGATAACGCATTAAAAGAAATGCATCTGCAAGACCTTGAATTCCAATACCTAAAATATATGTGATAAATTTATAATAAACATATAAAAATATATCTTTTATAGTATATATATTTTATATAATAAGAATATTTACCTATAGGTCTATGTCTAAAATTTGACTTTCTCGCTTCTGGAATAGGATAATAATTGACATCGATAATTTTGTCGAGATTACAAGTAACAATTTTTGTTACTTTCAGAAGTTTTTGAAAATCAAATGTTTGATTATTGGGATTTACAAACATATTAACAGCAATTGAAGCTAAATTACACACAGCAACTTCATCTGGACTGGAATACTGCACAACTTCTGTACATAAATTACTACTCTTTATTGTTCCTATATTTTGATGATTTGATTTGCGATTGCAATGATCTTTATAAAGCATATATGGAGTTCCTGTTTCAACTTGAGAAATAAGAATAGCTGTCCATAAATCTCTAGCTTGAATTTGTCGTTTATATCTTTTCTCATTTTCATACCTAATTAAGAATTTAATATTATTTATGTAATTTAATTTATAAAAATATTATTTGAAATTGATAAATTAAAAATTAAAATAAAAATTACAACATTTCACAAGCATACTTTATTAAATTATTGAATTATTATTAAAGAATATAATCAAAATATTATCAAAAATATAGTAATCAAAAATTTACTGATAGTGAATTTCATTATTATATTATATAATAACATCTTATATATATATATATATATAAACAACTAATTTTATAGTATGAAATCAGTAATTTCAAATCTCAATAATTTAATTTAATTTACCGTGTATAAAGAATTTCAAATTCATTGCCCCAAACATCAGCTAGACCAGGAGATTCATGTGGACACATTAAAGTCCATATACCATTATCCAAAACTCGTTTCATAAAAAGATCAGGTATCCATAGAGCATAGAATAATTCTCTAGCTCTATTTTCTTCTTTACCTGTTTAATCGCGATTAAACATAGTATAACATAATATTACTAAAATAAATAATAAAAAATTTATTCTTTTATTTTATTATGTCATAAATTTATAATATATACTGTTTATAATCTTTAAAAAGCATATTAATTTACAATATAATTCTATTTTTACTTAATAATCATCACATATTATTTTATACTTATTTTTATATCTATTTTAATATCTGTATTTTATTATACATTCAGTTTATACTTTATTCTATGTCTATTTATTTGGTTTGTATTTTAGATATATATAAAAATATAAAAATAAGATAAAAACAATATAAATTAAAAATAAAAAAATAAAAGCAAAATAAAATAATTATTTTTTTTTGTAATAGTTTTATAAAGCAATAATTATATAATATATAAAATATTATAATTATATAATTATATAAAATAATTTTTATTATATATACGATAAAATAATAAAGTTTCTTGTTTTTTTTTCTATTGATATACTTTTCAAATTTTTTGATTAAAAAATTATAACAATTATAAAAGATTGTAAAAATTAAGAATAAAAATAATTCTAATTTACCAGTATTTTTTTTAAGATCTAGAAATTCAAAAATATCTGCATGCCATGGTTCTAAATATATAGCAAATGCTCCAGGTCTTTTATTTCCTCCTTGATCAACATATCGAGCTGTATTATTGTATACTCTAATCATTGGAATCAAACCATTAGATACACCAAGTGTACCAGCTATTGGTGTACCTCTTGCTCGAATACAATGTACATTAAGTCCAATACCACCAGCTGATTTACTAATGAGTGCGCATCTTTTTAATGTATCGTAAATTCCTTCAATACTATCTTCACTCATTGTTAATAAAAAACAACTGAAAAATATATAATTTTAAATTATTATATAGATAATCATATTTTATTATAATTTTGAAAAATATACCTAGACATTTGCTGTTGCCTAGTACATGCAGAAAAAAGTGTTGGAGATGCATGTGTAAAATAACGTTCTGATAAAAAATTATAAGTTTCTATAGCTTTATCAATATCTTCACCATGGATAGCAACTGCAACTCTCATTAACATATGCTGTGGTCTTTCAACTACTTTTCCATGTATTTTTAATAAATAACTTCTTTCAAGCGTTTTGAAACCAAAATAATTATAACTAAAATCTCTATCATAAATTATTGCAGAATTTAACTTATTTGCATTTTTTTGTATGATATTGTAATATTTCTCACTAATAACTGGTTTTTGATTATTTGTATATTGTTCCTTTACATGATATAAATTATACATTACTTCTACAAATGAAATGATTTGAAGAATGAAAAAATTATTAAAAAAAACTGAATATGATGAATTAAATATATTCATTGTCTTACCACTAAAACTTTTTGTTGTTTCTTTATGAAGATTAGAAATTGCAATTCGTGCAGCTAATATTGCATAATCTGGATGTTTGGTAGTCATAGTTGCTGCTGTTTCAGCTGCAAGATTATCTAATTCAACAGTAGTTACACCTGAATATAAACCACTGATAACACGAAAAGTGATTGCAGACTATGAAAAAAAACATAAAAATTCAAGAAAATATGTATTCATAATATATATTTATGTTAAAAATGTATTATTAATGTATTTCTTCTTATTTTCTTATTATCTTACTAGTGAAATATACATAATTTTGCAAAAAATTAATAAATAATATAAACTTATATATAAAATATAATCAAAATAAAATTATGAATAATACTAATAATAATTAATTAAATAAAATATACTTACAGGATCTATATAATCCATATCTAAATTATAACATAATTTAGATATTCTAGATGTAATTTTGTCGAAATGAACATCTTCTTTGCGTCCATCTAATAATTATAAAAAATATTTAAATTTAGAATATTTTACATTTCTAATTGAATTAAACTAAAATTATTTAAAATAGCAATAGAATAATAAACTTTATGACTTACCGCGTTTTATTACATACATTCTTCCTTTTCCAACCATTTTTAAATCACAATAATTTGATTATATTTAAAATTGCAATAATTATTAATCTTTCTTATTCTATTCGTTATGGTTTTTTGGCGCGAAATAGAAGCACAGATAAAGTATAAAATAGATAACATCCAATACTTTTATTTGCCTCGAGAACTTTTTATTAAGATTGTTAGTATTTATAATATTACCGATTTAACATAGAATAGGATTATGACACTAATAGTGGTCGGAATTGAAATTAAATTTTAATATAAAATTATAAATGAGAAATAAAAAAAATATTTTGTTACAGAATATATGGCGCATTTACAAATAATTATATATAATACAATTATAAATTAAAAAATTAAAAATGATATACAATGAGATATATACAGTATTAGAGATCAATTATTATTTGTAAACATATTTTAATTCTTCAACTATAAATTATGAATTTATATTTTATTTATAATATTTTATTAAAAATATATAATTAAATTTCTATATTTAATAACATTACATTATTAAATCTTGTATATTTAATAACACTCTTTGGATAATTAACTACATGTTTTAAAAATGCAATGTAAGATTAAATAATAACGAAAGAATAGATTTAACAAACGAATCATTTTTTTTTATACAATTGTTTAAAATTCTTTTCTTTACTTTTGTTGTTGAGTTAGACTTTCACTTGTTTCAATTCAATATACTTAATTAGTTTACTCTGTCATTTTAAAATTTAAAATTTTGAAGGCATTATTGTGTATCATTTGTATACTGCCACTCTCTGAAATCACGGGCAGCTATTTTACTCTGGCATCTCATTATGCTAAATATAATACAAAAGAACACCCGTTATTTCTCCCACTCTTCTAATGGTCAGACTTTGCCCGGCAACTTTACTTGCGTGTAATATATAGTAGTTTGTAGTAGTATATGCACTAATGTATGTTTTGAGTTTTGAGTACGAGTACGGTAGACGTGGTAGAATGTCAAAAAATGTAGAGAAATATTAATCTTATAATTCAATAATGATGGAAGATATTAATGATAAATTTTTCTATGTGTATAGTTCTTCATTAGACACAAGAATACAAATTAAAATGTAAGATATAATTGTAAAAGTGTGAAATATAATAAGTGTGTCAGTATCAGCTGGTATCAGGTTACTATAATGATTGTTCCATAGTATATCTTTGTAATAAAAACAGGTGGACCACTAATAGTATCATTAATATAAAACAATTCTATTATAATATAAATTTAATATAATTTAATTCAGATATGAAATAGATTGAATATATTTAATTATATTATAAATTATTCCATTACATTGGTTATTTTAATTAAAATATATAATCATAATTTTAATACAAATCATCATTATATAATATATATTTTCTTTTTTGTAGAGGAACTTTAGAAGGTAAGAAACAACGACCTGAATATGATAAATTACTTATTGATCCTATGTTGAAATATTCTGGTCTATATGGAGCTAATGGAGGACGTGGAGATTTAGCAGCCTCTCTACAAGTATGGGCTGGTGGAAGACCACTTGCTTTACCTGTTCATACAGCTTATAAACATTTTACATCACGTTGGAAGTATGTACCATTTTAGTATTTTTAAAATATATTTGATATACATTTAAATCTTATTGATTTTTTTTAGTTGGAATCAATGGGTAACTCTACCTATTTCTTATTCTGATTTACCACGAGATGCTCAATTATGCATAAGTTTGTATGATTGTGCTGGACCTGGTAGACAATTACCTATTGGTGGTACAACAATATCTATGTTTGGAAAACATGGAGTATTTCGTCAAGGAATGTTAGATCTTAGAGTATGGCCTGGAGTAGAAGCAGATGGTAGTATACCAAATAGTACACCAGGAAAAACTAGAGATCATGGGAAAGAACAAATGCAGCGATTAGCAAAACTTGTCAAAAAACATAGAAATGGTCAAATGAATAAAGTTGATTGGCTAGATAGATTAACATTTAGAGAGATTGAGTTAATTAATGAAAGAGAAAAAAGAGCATCTGAGTACTTATATTTAATGATTGAATTTCCAGAAGTTACTATGGATGGAATACCGGTATGAAAAACTTCAAATTTAATAATTTTTAAAATTAATAATAAAAATTATAATTATTTTATAATATTTTCTAATATATATATTATAATTTTTTTTCCATTTTTTGTTATTCATATTTCAGTATTCTCATTTCTTTCAGTATTCTATAGTGTATTATGAAAAAGATGGAGATGAAGTTGTTCAACACAGATCACAACCAGATGTTGTAACTTTACCTGATTATGAAATTTTACAAGTAAGTATCATTATGAATTATTATGAAATACATCAGCATTCATTTTAGTATAGAAATCGAAATTGATTTTGAAAATTTATATTTATAAAATCTACAAATATTTTGTTTCAGAAAAATGAAATTTGCTTTTTTTTTTATCTATACAATTCAAGATAAGTTGAAACATATTTAATAAAATAATAAATTGTTATACTTGCCATTTAATTAAGTTTAATGAAAAGATTAATAGAACATAAGTTAAAAATGTTATTTGATGTTATAAGCAAATGTATATTAATATTAATATTAATATTAAAAATAATATAACAAATTTAAGATTTATTATAATATAAAAATTATAATATATATCTATTTTTATTTTCATATATTTGATATATTTCTATTATTAGGAAAATCTTGTAGAAGCAAAACATCATAAGCTGGCTCGAAGTTTAAGAAGTGGTGGTCATACCCGAGAACTAAAACCAACTTCAAATGTTCGTGATGCTTTAAATATAATATTAAGTTATCCACCAACAACTGCACTTTCTACAGAAGAACAGGATCTTATTTGGAAATATAGATTTTATTATCAAATCAAAAGAAAGCTTTAACAAAATTCGTAAAATGTGTAAATTGGAAAGTTGCTGGAGAAGAACGGCAAGCATTAGAAATGTTAGCATTATGGGCACCACCTGATCCTGAAGATGCATTAGAATTACTTGGCCCAGCATTTACACATACAGCTGTTAGAAGATATGCTATTACTCGACTTAATCAAGCACCTGATGATGATTTAATGTTATATTTGTTACAATTAGTACAAGCTTTAAAATATGAAGATTTTGAAAGTATTAAAAGGGCACATCAAATGTTAATAAAAGAAAAGGAATCAGAAAAAGTTGAAAAATTGGATAGAGATGTACAAATTAATGATTCTTCATCTATAGCTGTAACAACTGTAAGTACTTTTATGATATAAACATTGAATATCTCTAATTTATTACAAATAGGTATGCATGATTTTCAGTCTAGTGAATCTGAAAATGGACAGTTTTCAATAAATCAAGATTCTCTTATGGATTTAGCATCTTTTCTGATTACTCGTGCATGCCAAAATACTACTTTGGCTAATTATTTTTATTGGTATCTTTCAATTGAATGTGAAGATCAAAGTGACCCATCTATAAGTGCAAAACAAGATACTCGTGTCAAAGAAATGTATAATACTGTAATGTCAATGTTTTCAATGATGCTGGCACAAGGGAATGCTATTTGGCAAAAAAGGAGAGCATTTCTTTTACATCAAAAAATATTTATTGATCAATTAGTAGCATTGGTGAAAGCAGTCGCACGAGAAAGTGGAAATCGTAAAAAAAAGACTGATCGATTGAGAGTATTATTAGCAGATCCAGATCCAGCATTTAAAATTAATTTTTCGAATTTTGAACCAATACCTTTTCCTTTGGATCCAGAAATTTCTATCAAAGGAATTATACCTGAAAAGTATGAATAATTCCTTTTATGGTAATGAATATTTAATTTAATTTAATGAATATTTATATTTTAATGATTTATGCTATTTTTAGAGCTAGTCTTTTTAAATCAGCTCTCATGCCATCTAAATTAACATTTTTAACAATGGATAATAATGAATACATTGCAATTTTTAAACATGGTGATGATCTTAGACAAGATCAATTAATTTTACAAACAATTGCACTTATGGATAAGTTATTAAGAAGAGAAAACTTGGATTTAAAACTTACTCCTTATAGGTAAATATTCTTACAATTTTTCGATATGAAATATTATTTAAAATATAAATTAATTTATTTTTAGGGTACTTGCTACAAGTACTAGACATGGATTTTTACAATTTATTGAATCTACAACAGTTGCTGAAGTTCTAGCTAGTGAAGGTTCCATATTAAGTTTCTTTCGAAAACATCATCCATCCGAAAATGGTCCTTATGGTGTTGTACCTGAAGTTATGGATACTTATGTTCGTAGTTGTGGTAAGAAAAATATATATTTTTCTAAAAGAATTTATATTAATTTGAATTATATATAAGTAAAATTTCAGCTGGTTATTGCATCATTACATATGTGCTTGGAGTTGGTGATCGACATCTAGATAATTTACTTTTAACAACGTCAGGTAATTTTTTTATAAATTTTTAAATTATTTAAATTATTAAAATTAATAAATATAAAAATATAAATAATTATATAAAATTAAATAATATTTATATTTTAGGTAAATTATTTCATATAGATTTTGGCTATATTTTGGGTAGAGATCCAAAACCTTTACCACCACCAATGAAATTAAGTAAAGAAATGGTTGAAGCTATGGGAGGTGTAGGTTCAGAACATTATCATGAATTTCGAAAACAGTGCTATACTGCATTTTTACATTTACGTAGACATGCAAATTTAATTCTAAATTTGTTTTCATTAATGGTTGATGCTAGTGTACCAGACATAGCATTAGAACCAGATAAAGCTGTTAAAAAAGTTCAAGACAAATTACGACTGGATTTGAGCGACGAAGAAGCAGTACATTATGTACATAGTCTTTTGGACTTATCAGTAACAGCTGTAATGGCAGTATTAGTGGAACAATTACACAAGTTTGCACAATATTGGCGAAAATAAAATCAATCTATCTGAAATAATGATTCTAAAGATTGTGTTCCTTTATAATTACTGCAAATATTATTATATTGTATATATAAATGGCCATACATTTATAAATGTAACATAATTTATTGTATTTTGGGATTATTTTAGGTAATAAATCTTTGATAATAATAAAAGATAATTGTACTTTTTATAAGTATAAATTATATACAAAAATTTTTAATATCTAACAT